ATTTTTTTGTTTGCTCTAATCACATTTTACTTGGATAGCTATAAGAAAAGCAAAACAAAGAATGATGCCTGGGGAAGTCTGAATAGCAAAATTGAGCAAGTGTTACTGTTCCTTTTCTCATAGCTCACTATTCCTCATTGAGGCATCTTTCTGAATCATTAACATTTGCTGTTTTAAAAATGAACCTTTCAGGGTGCCTGGGTGGCTCAGATGGTTGGGCATCTGCCTTCAGCTCAGGTCATGGTCCCAGGGTCCTGGGATCGAATCCCACATCAGGCTCCCTGCTAGGCGGGGAGCCTGCTTCTCCCTCTGCCTCTGCCTCTCTCTCTCTCTCTCTCTGACTCTCATGAATAAATAAATAAAACATTAAAAAAAATGAACCTTTCATAAACATGATAATATCACTCAGCAAAAAAAAGAAAAAAAATAATATCACTCAGCACCAAAGCCTGACTGGCTGTGTGACCTTGGGCAAATGACCTTTCTGATGGGGCTCCTGGGTGGCTCAGTCAGTTAAGTGTCTGCCTTCAGCTCAGGTTATGATCCCAGGGTCCTGGGATGAACCTCATGTCAGGCTCTCTGCTCAGTGGGGAGCCTGCTTCTCCTTCTCCCTCTGCCTGCCTCTCTCCCTCTCTCTCTGTCAAATAAATAAATAAAATCTTAAAAAAAAAATTACCTTTCTAAATTTCAGTTTCATCATATAACATTTACCTCCTAAGGCTGTTAAGAAAAGTAGAAGAGATAACGTAAAGCCAGGCACATTTCAGGTACTCAATAATATTGGTTCCCTCCATTACTTTTCTTTCACTTTAAAAAAGAACTTTTTTGGGACACCTGGGTGGCTCCATTGGTTAAGCATCTGCCTTAGGCTTGGGTTGTGATCCCAGGTCCTGGGATTGAGCCCTGCGTTGGGCTCTCTGCTCAGCAGGGAGTCTACTTCTCCCTCTCCCTCTGTGCTCTCGTTCTTTCTCTCTCAAGTAAATAAAAATCTTTTTTAAAAATTTAAAAGTAAATTAAAAAATAAAGTCAGAACCACAATGTTAAGTCTCTGAAATAGAGAAGGTAGATATTGTATAATTCTATCAGAACAGAATATTTTTTAAGTATTGTTTTCTTATTGTTATTTGTATTCATTATAGAGGATTTGGGAGATACAGAAAAGGATAAATAAGAAAATATAAAATACAGTCTCACTATCAAGAGTTTATGATTATTAAATTTTGGTATTTATCTTTACAGTCTTTTTTCTTTTCTTTTTATTAAGCTTTTTATTTTAATTCTAGTATAGTTAACATACAGTGTTATATTAGTTTCAGGTGTGCAATATAGTGATTCAGCAATTCTATACATTACTCAGTGTTCATCACAGTAAGTAAACTCTTTAATCTCCATCATCTATTTAACCCATCCCCCTACCCACCTCCCCTCTGGTAACCATCAGTTTGTTCTCTATAGTTAAGAGTCTGTTTCTTGGTTTGTCTCTTCTTTTTTCCCCTTTGTTCATTTGTTTCCTTTCTTAAATTTCACATATGAGTGAAATCATACTGTATTTGTCTTTCTCTGACTGATTTCGCTTAGCAGTATGCTCTCTAGCTGCATATGTGTTGTTGCAAATGGCAAGATTTCATTCTTTTTTATAGCTGGAGAGTATTCCATTGTGTGTGTGTGTGTATATATATACACACTTCCCTATATATATATATATATATATATATATATACACACACACACACACACACACACACACACACACTTCTTCTTTATCCATTCATCTACCTATGGACACTTGGGCTGATTACATAATTTGGCTATTGTAAATAATGCTGCAGTAAACATAGGGATGCATGTATCTCTTTGAATTAGTGTTTTTATATTTTGGGGGGTGAATACCCAGTAGTGTGATTACTGGATTATAGGGTAGTTCTATTTTCAACTTTTTGAGGATGCTTCATGCTGTTTTCTACAGTGGCTGCACCAGTTTGCATTCCCACCCATAGTGCACAAGGATTCCTTTTTCTCTACATCCTCACCAACACTTGTTTCTTATGTTTTTTTATTTTAGCCATCCTAACAGGTGTGAGTAGTAGTAGTTGTAGTTTTTGCATTTCTCTGATGATGAGTGATGTTGAGTATCTTTTCATGTGTCTGTTGACCACCTGTATGTCTTCTTTGGAGAAATGTCTGTTCATGTCTTCTGCCCATTTTTAATTGGATTATTTGAGGGTTTTTGGTGTTGAGTTGTATCAGTTCTTTATTTATTTTGGATACTAACCCTTTAGCAGATATGTCATTTGCCAATATATTCTCCAGTCTTTTTTTTTATATTTCATCTTGGAAAAAAAAGAAAAAGCCTCTTCCAGGTATTCTCCGCCCAGCTATCATCCCTCCCTTTCAGAGGTTTCACATCCAAATTTTTAAAAAGCCTTCCTCTCCCTCTTGGTCCCATTTTCTTTTCTATGAAATCTTTTCTCAGGAAATACATCAAGGTTTTCCTGGACAGTAAGTCTAACTTATATTTTGCAGTCTTTTTGTTTGTTTGTTTTAAATCTCTAAGTAGTATTCTGCATTACAAACCACTCTTTTATTCTTGAAATGTCTTTTCACTATTGTTTCTGATTTTTCTTTTATTTCTTTGGTCATTTCTTATTTTCCTTTATGGGATCCTTCATGTAAGTTTATTCTTTAAAAATTTGTTATTCTTACAGGTTCTGTCATGAATCCTTTTCTCTTGATGATTTCACCCATTCCCATAGCTTCAGGTGCTGTCTCTATGTTGATGATTTCAAAATCTCTGTCTTCAAATTTCTCTCAGGGCTTCAGACCCATATATCTATATATGGGCATGTGGGCATGTTTACTATTTGGGTGTTTCTGAGGTAACTCGAACAGCATATCCTGAGTTGGCATGAACCCTTCATCTCATTCCCTCCTACAAACAAAAGTTGATACCTCCCTCTGCCTTTCCTACTATCTACTCCTTTACTCAAGTTGGAAATGGGACTCTCCATTGACTCCTCTTGCTCAACCACTGTATCCAGTCAATTTCTCTAATATCTCTTGAGTCCCTCTACATCTCTCCTTCGTTTTTTCCTCATTTATTTCCATGTGAGATAGCTTTAGATTTCATATATATAGTTGTCTTCCATTGGAATATAGGTTCTATAAGGATAGGGATTCTCATATGCTTTGTTCATTGCTGTATCCCCTATGCCTAGAAGTTTGCCTGGCACACAGAAAGCACTTAATACTGCTTAGTGAAAAAAAAAAAAAAATTCCCTACACTAGTCTAAGATTTCTTATGTAGATCACTGAACCAACATTTAACTGGTCTTTGTACCAATTAATGCTTTTCCAATTAATTGCCCGCATTGAAACCGGAATGAACTTTCTAAAATTTAATTATGCCACATTCCGATTTAAAATCCATCGATTACTTTTCATAGCCCTTAGGATAAAGTTCCAACTCCCTCTATTTTCATTTAAAAAGCCCTTCATGAACTGAAATTCTTCCCACTTTGAACTTTGGGTTCTAGTCATACTGAACTTCTGTTATTTGTGCATATGTACCATGCTTTCTTACCTCTAGACTTTGCACATGTTGATTGTGTTCTCTGGGACACATTTACTTTCTCCTTGGTTTGGTTGATTCCTAATCCTTAAGGCCTGACTCAGTTAAAAGGCATGTCTTTAGAGAACGCTCTTGATCAGTACCTGTATTACTATTTTCATAGTAGTAAAGACTGTTACCTGTATTACTATTTTCATAGTAGTTATCCATTTATTATAAATGCATATTTAATTTACTGGTTCTACTTCTAGAATATAGCTCCTTGAGCAAAAACAATGTTTCTGTTGATTTCCATTATATTCTTAGCACCTAACACATAGTAGATGCTTCATACTTTAAAAACAAAGTATGAGACCCACACACTCCCTCCTTCACGTACACATCTATACTGTCAGTCCTCATTATTCATGGATTCTGTATTTGTGAATTTGCCTACTCACCATAATTAATTTGTAGCTCCGAAATCAGTACTTTTAGCACTTTCACAGTCATTTGTGGACATGTGCAGAGTCAAAAATGTGAATTGCCTGACATGCATTCCCAGAAGAGGTCAAATAAAGCAACACTGTCTTCTTGTTTTAGTCCTCACACTATTAGCAAGTATCCTTTATGTGACATATTTAGTGCCATTTTTTCCCCATATTTTTGTACTTTTTGCTTGTGATTTTGCTATATAAAATGGCTCCCAAGCATGCTGCTGGGAGTGTTGGCTTGTGTTCCTAAGCCCAAGAAGGCTGCATTGTGCCTTACAGATTAGCTTCATTATGTTAGATTAGCTTCATTCAGGCATAAGGTTGGCCTTGAGTTCAGTGTTAATGAATGAAAAATACATATTAAATAAGGTGTGTTTAAACAGAAACACACATAAAACAAGGTTATGTGTTAGTTGGTTGATGAAAATACTATGACCAGAGGCTCTCAGGAACCTAGCCCTACATCCCCTCTAGGAGCAATAGTTCAGTATTTGTTAACTCAATATTTACAGTGACTTTATAGAATAAAACTACCGTAAGTAATGAGAATTGACTGTAGTTGTAAAATTTTGTTCAAATGTGTATATACATATATATAAGTATATATATATAAAACATTTCATAATTTGCTTTCATGCCCCTATTAAAAATAATGGGCCTTTATCTCATAATATATGTTATTAAGTAAGGAAAAAAACACCTATGTGCATTCTTAAATGTTTGTATGAGCATGGAGATAAATATGGTTGATATACATCAGGTTATGTTGGTTACCTGGAGGATGAATATTTTTTTTTCTTAATTTACCTTTGTATTGTCTCACTGGTTGCACAACGTGAAACATGTTTCTTTTGCAGATATTCTTGTAAAACATGATTTTTAATGGTTGCATTGCATTTCTCTTTGTGAAAGGAATAAAGTTTTGACTAATTATGGTCTTGAATTTTCTTGTGTTTCAGATAGTCAACGTCTACAGTTGGATCTACAGAAAATGGAACTTCTGGAAAGTAAGATGACTGAGGAACAACATTCTCTGAAAAGCAAAATTAAGCAAATGACAGCTGACCTAGAGACATATAATGATTTGCCGGCTTTAAAATCATCAGGTGAAGAAAAGAAAAAGGTAAATGGTAACAGTCTTACAGAATTATTCAAATTGTTTTTTCTTGATCAAATTTAATATATATGTAGTTCATAGAATTTATTATTTGCAGTTGATTGTTTGATATATAAGCTAAGATGTTTATGTATATAGGAGGAATTTAGAGAGATGTAAGTTTTAAACAAAAGGCAAAGCAAGAAAAAGCAAGAGCATTTCAACAAATATGAACTTTGTTAAATGCCGGTTTGATTATGAAATTTCCCTCCTTAAGATTTACTCATCAGTGGTTTTTCATTGCTATTTACATTTAATTTAAAGTAAATTTCGTTGGATAGGAACACATATATAGCAGCCTTAGTAGAGCTATTAATACAGTTAATACTAATTTAGCTTATTATATCTCAAAAGATATTTTTACAAACAGGTTTTAGAGTAATTATAATCTTGGTAGAATTTTACCAGAATATCATTGAAATTATTTAAGTTAAAAATGATTTATATTGGCTTACTAGATATTTGCTAAAGTCTGTTACTTATTTCTATTTGGATCTATCTAGAAGTTACATCAGGAGAGAACAGTATTAACAACCCGCAGAAATGCCTTTAAGAAAATAACAGAGAAGCTAAACGTAGAATTTGAGACACTAAAAACACAATTGCAAGAAAATGAGACACATTCTCAGGTAAAAGGAAAAAAAAGACTCTGAAATTTATTTCTGTTTTTAAACTATCTGTCCCGTGTTTTTAATCTATATTTTCACCCTGAAACAATTTTTTTTAACTTGCTGTATTTATCCTTCCAGACTTTGTGCTTTGAAGATAGCCAGACTGTACAATCTCCACTCAGAATGAATTTACTTTTGCTCTCCTTCTATAAACCTATATTGAAGGACTACTCTGTGATAGGCCCTGTTCTGGGCACAGCCTATCGGCTGATAATAGCTTTTAAAAATTTCAGAATTAGGGCGCCTGGGTGGCTCAGTTGGTTAAGCGACTGCCTTCGGCTCAGGTCATGATCCTGGAGTCCCGGGATCGAGGCCCGCATAGGGCTCCCTGCTCAGCGAGGAGCCTGCTTCTCCCTCTGACCCTCTCCTCTCTCATGTCCTCTCTCTCATTCTGTCTCAAATAAATAAATAAAATCTTTAAAAATAAAAAAAAATTAAAAATTTCAAAATTAAAACTTTTTTTTTTTTTTTTTTAAGATTTATTTGACAGAGACAACCGCGAGAGAAGGAACACAAGCACGGGGAGTGGTAGAGGGAAAAGCAGGCTTCCCACTGAGCAGGGAATTAAATTAAATTAAAACATTTTTAATGGAGAAACTTTGCTAAGTCACAAAAACCACAAATAGAGAAAATAAACCTTAATGACTAATATCACAGAAGAATTAATTCTTGTCATTTTTGTGTGGGTCCTTCTAGTCTATATGTATATATGTACACACATTTTTTATATATATGTATACATTTATTTCTATATATTTATAGAAATGGTATCATATTGTACATATTTGGAAACTTGTTTTTCATTATTAACTATACCTAATAAGTAGTTTGCCTTGTCATAGCTTTTAAAAATATGATTTTTTTAAGATTTAATTTATTTATTTGACAGAGAGAGACACAGTGAGAGAGGGAACAAAAGCAGGAGGAGTGGGAGAGGGAGAAGCAGGCTTCCCGCAGAGCAGGGAGCCCGATGCGGGCCTCGATCCCAGGACCCTGGGATCATGCCCTGAGCCGAAGGCAGATGCTTTAACGACTGAGCCACCCAGGCGCCCCTAAAAATATGATTCTATATAATATTTGACTTAATGGATATAGTATAAATTACTGAACCAGTTTCATATTATTGGACATTTAGGTTATTTTTAGTTTTAAAACTGTTTAATGCTGTAAAAAGCAGTCTTGTCCTTGAACTTCTTTTTTTTTTTTTTTTTTAAAGATTTTATTTATTTATTTGACAGAGAAAGAGCACAAATAGGCAGAGTGCAGGCAGAGGGAGAGGGAGAGGCAGGCTCTCTGCTGAGCAGGGAGCCAGATGTGGGGCTTGATCCCAGGACCCCAGGATCATGACCTGAGCCGAAGGCAGCCACTTAACCAACTGAGTCACCCAGGCGCCCCCTGTCCTTGAACTTCTTGATGTACATTTCTGATTATTTACACAGGATTCACAGACAAACCCCCCTTTCACATCATTTATCCTACTGATAGAATTACCTGAACAATGTCGGAGGTCTTAGAGATCGAGTGTCCTGTCTGAGAAGGTAGAGATGATATCTGTTTCATTCACTTTCTCCCCACACTGTGCCCGTGGTTGCCACATAATAGGTGTTCAGTAAGTATTTGCTGGAGGATTAAATGAAGCATGTGTAGCATGTACAAAATCAGTAGATAAAGATTGATCATCTCATCTAATTAGTATATATTAGCAATTTGCAACTATGATTTATTAATGCTAAATGCGTTCTTCCTTTTCTTTAAATGGTAACATGATCATGATAGACAATCATTGTTAACATTTTGGTATAATATCCTTGTAAACTTTTTTCCTTTGCAGTTATACACCCATATTGCTTATATTATTTTTAGAAAAAATGAAATTCTATGCATATAGTCTTTAAACATTCATTTTCTCACAAATATTTTCAAGCTCCTTTTTTGATATTTTTATGAGTATTTCATTGTATGGATTTACCATTTTAAAAACAAAGACATACCTTATATTCATCTTGAAAGGGGTGATGTCTCATCAGAGTTTGCCACAACTACTAAAAGCTTAGAAGTCACTACTTTACATATTCAGATTTATTAGTTATTCTGTCTCTACTTCATAATAAACAGGTCTAGATATAGATTTGTAAGTGGCAAAATTATCCTAGGCTGTTTAGATTGGGGATGGATACTGGAGAAGAAATCTAAGAAGTTTATGAGGCCATTGTCTTAAATGATTCTTAGGAAAAAATACTGATACTGCTTATGGAATATCAGCTCTCCTTTTTCACTGAATAGATTAAGGAGGAAAACACTTGACAAACACAATTTCTTAGAGCCAGTCAATGGCTACTTGTTTATTCCCACATCAAGTGCTAATCATATACTTAACCCCTTATACTGATAACAAGAATTCATAACAACTCACAATTTACCATCCTTCTCTATATTATTTGTTGCTTTTTGGAAATCCCCATTGATCAAATAAAATCTGGTCTCCTTTTGCAACTATTTTCTCGAAAACCGCTTTTTGACATAGATAAATTTCATAACAGACTTTTTGATGAATGGCTATTATTTATTTGATATCATTTAAATATCTTTATATTGGAACAAACTATAAAACTCCTAGAAGAAAACATTAGGGCTAAAGCTCCTTGACATTAGTCTTGGCAACGGTTTTTTGGTTATGACATCAAAAGCACAAACAACAAAGGCAAAAATAAATAAGTATGCCCACATCAAACTAGAGGGCTTCTGCACAGCAAAAGAAACAATCAACAAAATGAAAACAACCTATGGAATGGGAGAAAATATTTTCAAATCATAATATCTGATAAGGGGTTAATATCCAAAATATATAAAGAATATATACAATAGACTGTTTAAGGAAGTTGTAGGGAAAAAACAGATTCATGCCTCAAGATATTCTCAGAGGTTTAAAGGCAAGTCACTAATACAGATGTATAATATATAAGGAAGTTGACCATCTGACAGAGTGTTGCTTTTATAGCATTATTCATTTAGCACTTAAGAGGTCTGCATTCTAAGAAGGCCACCTCTTTGTATGAAACAAAGGGGAAAAGTTTGGTACTTGACTTTTGCAAAAGGTTATTAGAGATTTATTGCCAAAAAGTGCTGACTGCTTCCTTAAGTCCATCTTAACTTTGAGTTCCTATCTGGGGAGCCAGATCTGATTTAATAGTGTTAACTCACAGTACATACAGTTTACATAATTAATTAGGATTTATCCTAATACCTAGATTTATCTCTTTAGAGGAAACAGTGGGATGGATACTACATTAACACTGAACATATACCCTGAAAATAATTTTAACATGAGAGTAGAAATATTAATGCTGCTTTAGTTATCAGATTCTTAAAAATGATCATTACCTCCTAGAAATATCTACACAGAATGTTATTGTAATGTTTCATTTCTCAGACAGTCCTTTGCCTAGGAAAAATACTATGTGCATCTTAAAAAAGAAAGACTATAACCCAGAGTTAAAAGGTTAATTAAATCAGAAAAACAATTTAATTCTATAACAGTAAAATTGTCTTCTGAGGAAGCAACCATCAATATAATATCCACATTAGCTTCCTGTTGATGCAGAAATTATTGTAACAGTGCCAGCTTTTTACCAACCCTCTTATAATCTTCACACTGCAGGTCTGCTCTTATCACAGCTTGTGGAATTAGACAGGAAATTTAGCCCTGGAAATAAGGAAGTTACTCCTATATAGTTGAACCTTTGACAGTGTTAGAATATATATCACATTTGTAGCATTAGACTTCCAGATTTCAAGGGGAGATTCCCATCATGTCCCATTCTTTTCTTTCAAGTTCTTTTTGGAAAGGGGAAAGTCATAAATTGTCTTTCAGTTGGCATGTTCATTGGCATAATAAATATTGTAAATATTTTCCAATTAAACATATAGAGTAAAGCCTGTTGTCAAATTCAACATTGTATTTATTAATGTATTTACTGTTGTTTAATCCTTTCTAATTTTCCTTTTTGTCTGCCATGGCTTTATCTCACCAAAATGCAAGGAGTTGATAAGATTTAAAATTGAGGTTTTTTTTTTTCTTATCCTCTTAAAAGCGTGTATAATTATTTTGAATATGGGTACTGTTTAACATTTTTATTTTGTGTTTTTTAGCTTACAAATTTGGAGAGGAAGTGGCAACACCATGAGCAAAATAATTTTGTGATGAAAGAATGTATCCTTTTAAAAAAGGCAAATGAACTTGACAGTGTTTTGGGGTTTTTTTTTAAGATTTTATTTATTTATTTGACAGAGAGAGACATAGCGAGAGAGGGAACACAAGCAGGGGGAGGAGGAGAGGGAGAAGCAGGCTTCCCGCGGAGCAGGGAGCCCGATGTGGGGCTCGATCCCAGGACCCTGGGATCACGACCTGAGCCGAAGGCAGACGCTTAACGACTGAGCCACCCAGGCGCCCCAATTTTTTTTTTTTTTTTTTTTTTAAGATTTATTCACTTATTTGAGGCGGGGAGTGGGGAGGTAGAGGGAGAGAGACAATCTCAAGCTGACTCCCCGCTGAGCAGGGAGCCTGATGCAGGGCTCGATCTCACAACCCTGAGGTCATAACCTGAGCCCAAACCAAGAGTCAGATGCTCAACTGACTGAGCCACCCAGGCGCCCCAGAGAGATTTTTTTTTCTAAGAATTTCTTTAAAGAAATGAAATGAAATGAAATTTAACACAAACTTATCAAATACCTAATATGTACAAAACACCAAACTAAACTATGTGGGGAATAAATGAGTAAGACTCAGTTTCCAGTCTACAATAATTAGGGTATGTGTGTGTATACCAAAGTAACAATAGAAAGCAGACTGTACAAAGTCATAGTGTGGCATAGTGATTTAAGTGCACAGAATTTTCAGTGTTGACTTTACTACTTGTAGATTAGGGACTTCGGGCAATTTATTTAATTTGTTTAAACCCCAATTTTGTCATCTTAAATATAGTTAATATTTCCTTCTCATAGAGCTATTAAAAGAATTATATAAAACCATGCATATATGTATATTCATAATTGCTGTTGCTTATAATGCTGTACCTTGGATATCTGGGCAGCAGAGGGACGTAAGCCCAGTAGTATCCTGAGAAATTTGACTTTCAAGCTCATCTGTGTTTCAGCCAATTCAACTTCAATTTCTACCGCGGTGGGACTTAAATCCCATCTTCTTGCTAATCTTTTTGTGTGATTATATAGGAGGAAGCAGCTACTAAGGACATGTATTGTAAAATTATAAGAAACATTTCCCCAAAAGTTATTTTCTGTTCCCTTCTTTGACCGTTTAAGGACATCTCTAGCTTGGAGAAGTAGCTCCTGACTCATTGGTAGTTTAGATTCTCCTCCAGGAAACTGCCAAACTTCAGCTCAGGGCAGCGTGGATTCCCGGCTTACTTCCACATCAAATGCATTGGGGCTCTATTCCCAGCAGTCGTGCTACTCAGTATAAAAGCAAAAGACTCTTCAATGTGCTTTAGTCCAGTAGTCTAGTTTATGCAACACAAAGTAGGGGATTTTGAAGTAGAGTGAATTCTAGAGACTTCTGAAATTCAGTGTGGTACTCTAGAAAACATGGTTCTTCTGAACATTCAGTTGTTCGCAGACCAGAATTAGATTGAGATGCATAATATTAACTATAAAAAAGCTCTTAGGGGCACCTGGGTGGCTCAGTCAGGTTAAGCATCTAACTCTTGATTTTGGCCCAGGGTCGTGAGATTCAGCTCCATGTGGAGCCCCGCACTCAGTGCAGAGTCTGCTTATCCCTCTCCCTCTGCTCCTCTCTCTCAAATAAATAAATAAAATCTTTTTTTTTAAAAAAGCTCTTATAGTATGTAGGTGAACTTTTTTGAAACAAGTTTTGCTTAGCCTTTTAGGTTTCAATTGATCTTAATCTGTTAATATATATTTTTAAATATATTCTAATTGTGCTTTTTCTGACCATTTTCAATTTTCAATAAGAAAAATTAAAAAAATGATTTAGTTCCTTCCTAAGCCAAAGTGGATTACTATTTTTGTTGATCACTGTTCCCCCTTAACTCATGTAATTAGTCATAGCAACCAAGAGTCAAGAGAGTGATTACCAGTCAATTATGAAGAATGTAACCAAGCAGATTGCAGAGTACAATAAAAGCATCGTGGACGCTCTACATAGCATGAGCAGAAACTGAGTCTGAACCAACTGCAAGTCTCTATAGTAGTATGCTCTTGCTGCTAAACTTTGTATAAGCTGACTGAAAAAGAATAACTTACCGTTGAAGAGTTTTACCTAAAAATTTTGAGTTCTATAATTTTTGTGACCTCTTTGAAGAGGTTATACTATTTAAATAGTATAATAGTTCAGTAAAAAGTTTGCATACAGAAAAGCATCTTTTTATATTTGTATTTGTGTGGGTGATAAAAATGTGTCAACCAACCAAAAGATGAACTAGAAGTGGCCATTGAGATTCATTTAGTTGGTATAATCCATCTATGGCAGCAAATGAGATCATTTTTTTACATGTCAACTCTAGGAGGGATACATGGAGTGAAATTCTGATTTAGTACTTATGTCAACCTTGTCAAGTTTTGCTTCTAGAAGAAGTAAGAATGGCAGGGAGATGTTTAGCTTTGAACTTTATTTCTCAAATAGGGTATATTTGATGTATTTTAGGGAATATAAAGTTGCAGGTAAGTATATTAACAAATATTCTTTGTATATCAGTTATCCCTAAAGATTCAGAATTGAAAACTTTAACCTTTGCTTTTTAAAAATATTTCCTCATGTGTATATACTAGGAAAAACATGAAGTTTAAAAGAAATGCACTTATGGTAGTCTGTTTTAGACATGGCTGTTGGCTGTTCATTGCCACTCTGGAGTATACATTCAGTCTTTTGGACTGTAAGTAGATTAATTTTGTATTGCCAGAACATTTGAAAAGAAAAACTAGAAGAGGTAGAACTGTATAGTATAAATCTAGGAGATATTATAGTAACTAAAGAGGTATCTTCTCTTGTGGGCAGGAATAAGTCATCTTGGCCAGCATAAAATAATTCGTAAAACTATCCTCCTTTTGCTCTGATTTCATGTTCATCAAGTAACTCCACTTCTCAGTATTCCTGAAACACAAGCATATTGGTTTCTTTAAAAAGTGGGGGGCTTTATTGAGATATAGTTTACATATTATAAATTACCCATACATGTTGCTTTCTTGAAGTATGTATCACCATAAACTCTTCAACTTTAATATGTGTGAGATTATGTAGACGGGTGAGCATTTTGTTTAACTCTGGATTACTAATATGGCTGAAGATCCTGGACAGTGATACATTCATTAAAGTGGCATTCTAAAAATGTGTTCCTCAGATCTTGAGTTCTTCAGGTTATTAATAGGTGTTATGCCACCAAAGGATTCATGGTCGAAGTTTGGAAAACATGGTTTGTAACAAAGGTAAATTGTTTTCTTTTTTCTTGACTCCTAAGAGCCCCTAATATCCTAATATACAATAAGATCAAGAAGAGTATATAGTATTTAAGGGCTTTAGGGGTTTTTTTTCCCCCGAGTGGTGGGATTGTGGTTGTTTTAATCTTCCTTGGACTTTTTGGTCTAAAAATTTTCGTTCAAAATCATCTATCATGTACATATAATATTTAGAAATGCAACAAAAGTTCAAATAAAGTTCTATATGCAGTTAGTACTTCTAACCTGTGGAAAAGAAGTATGGTAGTAAGACAACTCTGCAGTTATTGAACTAGATCTGACCCAATCTTCACCCAGAAAGAAGGTAGGAGGAAGAATGACTTACCTAATAAACATACGTGTTTGCATTATAAGAATGAGAAGCTTGGCAGAAAAAAAAAGAAAATTTCTTTAAAAAAAAAAGGTTTCCAGCCTCTGTTTTAAATTACTCATATATGATATTTGTGGAACATAATTGAGCAGGATTTCTTTAAACTAAAACGTGTTATCTGAGGGAAATTCTCACTAATGTCTCTTCCTTCCTCTCAGAGCTTTTCAACAAATCCAACAAGAATATTTCTTTGCTAGGATAGAGCTGGAGGCTACTATCTGCATGAACCGGCTCTTCCTCAGTCAGTCACATTGCTCAGTGAGTTCCATTCCTGTTAAAACAACACCTTGTAAGTCATATGGAAAGAAGCTGCAGACTGAACAAACATGCTGAGTAATTTTACTAATGAAAATCAACATGGGAAAGTTAGCAAGTCTTTGTTTTTCCCATCCTTATCCTTCATCAATAAATAAACATGAGTTCTTGAATCTCATTTTCACTAACTGGGGAGTCCTTGATTTTGACCACATTCTGATAGAATAATGCCATTCACACTAGAGATAAAAGACCAGTTAGTAGAAGCTCCCATGGTTCTTGCTATCTCCCTGCCAGGAAATTAGAACATTTAGACTTAAAGTGAGAAGAAATCAAGATGGACTACTAGAGCATTATTGTCATCTATTTTAATAGTAACATATCTTTCATTTTCATTTACCTTTCCAGATAAAAGTAGGTTTTGCCTTTAAATTGCAGATTCACAGTTTGAGAACTGATACTGTGAACATCTTTAAAAAGACAGTTTTTAAAATTAAGTTCTGTGTCCAAAATGGGGCTCAAACTCATGACCCTAAGATCAAGATTCACATTTTCCACCAACTGAGCCAGCCAGGTGTGCCTAAAAAGATAATTTTTAATGCAAAGGTAGAAAATTTAGGAAAGACAGGTAACAAAATGAAGAAAATAAATTTATTTGTCATGTCCCCAGTCTCTTTAGATGTTCATCTATATATCTGTAACACATATTTCTTATTTATACACTTATGTATTTTTAATAAAATTAAGATCATATTCTTAAATTTACTTTTGCTGTTTATCATTTTGCACATATTTGTCCATGTCATTATATATTCTTATACAGCATGTTAAAGTGATGCATATTATTCTATTATACAGATATTTTCTAAAAACAAATCCTTCATTGAATGGGGTTTATGGTGTAGGAATTAAGCATAAGTTTTGGATTAGGTAACTGAGTTGGGAAATCACGACTCCCCTACTAACTTGTTATATGACCTTGGGAAGTTTGTCTCTGAATTTTAGTTTCTTCATCTGTAAAATAAAACAATAGGGCTTAATCATAAGATTGGGTCAAAGAGTATGAAGAATTCAAGGCTTTTGACACAAATGGCTTTCAGAAAGGTAACATGATATTAGCAGTGTGCAAGAGTGCTTGTTTCCCTGCCCTCTCACCAACACAAGTGTTATGCAGGTTGACAATGTACCAACTCATTTGTTCTAGTTTTTTTTTTAAATAAACCTAATTGCCTCCGTTATTGTAATTAGAAACTTTACTGTGTTTTAATTAATATGCAGGATATATTTCATACTAAAAATTAAATCTATTAATAAAAATAAATAGAATTTTAAAAATATTCATTATAGCTTTGTAATAACAAAAGTTTAATGCTTGATGCTTATTTTTATTTTTTATTTATTTATTTTTTTAAAGATTTTATTTATTTATTTGAGACAGAGAGAATGAGAGAGAGAGAGCACATGAGAGGGGGGAGGGTCAGAGGCAGAAGCAGGCTCCCTGCCGAGCAGGGAGCCCGATGCGGGACTCGATTCCGGGACTCCAGGATCATGACCTGAGCCGAAGGCAGTCGCTTAACCAACTGAGCCACCCAGGCGCCCTTGATGCTTATCTTTAAAAGATAGTAGATTATACTTTGCTGCCTCAATATCTTCTCTCATAATATAATATCATAATGAATTATTGCTCTGAAAAGCTGACTGTATAACCTTAAGTGGAATAGGAAGAATCTGTGTAGAAATAATCTGCCTGATAATAACCAGGGACGTTCTGTTTGATCATTTTCTCTGTCTTCCTCCAAGTCAGAGCAATTACACATAAGGACAAGCTGTGTTAGAGAAGGGACGATAATATCCATTAGAGAGTTCAGTGTACAAGAGAGTTTGGAGGAAGCATGAGTCCTTAAGAATTCAATGGTCTGCTACCTAAAAGAGGCTTAGACACACTAGGTAAGTCTCTCACAAGGGAAATATAAAAACTAAAATGAGATTTTCAAAGTTAACTTTGATTTCCAAATCTTTCTGTAAAACAGTATTCTCACCGTGATAACAACATGGTGATACCATGGATGAAAGGCAGACTTAATCAGTTAAAATTGTATTTGGCACAAGGTCAAGAAAGAACTACTTCTAACCAAACTGAAATATTATCTCATTTTCTGTGTTTTTAATTTTCAACAGATAAACTCACCCTATTAGAGGAAGCCCAGACTGACATGAAAGTGAAAATATTTGATACAGTCCATAAGTTCAACCTGGATTTTTATCAAAGGAAACTATACTTCATTTTTAAAAAGCCTCTATCTTAAATTTGCTTCTTGTTAAAGTGAACTTTACTGGAGATGGGGAGGGCTGCCTTAGAGATTGACCAGCCCCACCCCATCCCCCCTGCCAAGGACAAAGCAGGGACCTGTGTCTCAGGATTAGGGGAAATGGTTAAGAAGGAGAGGAAAAGAAAATTGCTTTTCCAGCTTCTCTAACTTCCCATGTAGCCTAGAGAGAAAAGCAAGCATCCCTGGGGAGGAAATAACAAAAGTGTTAAACAGTAGATGGATGGATGAAACCTGCATCCCTGCAGTGTACTGGAGCTCTTGCCTTTATAATGCCCCTTGCTTGTAGTTACCAGAAGGCCAAATGGACGTTTACTACCAATTGGCCCTACCCTCCTGGGGGCCTCTACCTTTGAAGATGTTCCTTGGCTCAGTTCCTTTTCCTGCTAGAAATAACAAAGTCAGTAAAGGGGGTCTGGTAAAGCTGTAAAAGTCTGGTTGCCTTGTTTCCTTTTCCAAGGGCACACTTGAGGTATCTGGTTAGACCATAAGAGGTATTCATAAGAGACCTTAAGAGACAGCTAATTGGAAGAAGTGTCAGGTAATAAGAGATAAGTAAGGCTCTTCTTGCAAAACCACCCACAACTACATTATCTCCAAGGTGCCTCTATCTCAGCCGAAAAAGAAAGTCCCCCACAAAATAAACATTCAAAGGTTCTCTTTTCATTAAGCGTGGATTGGATTTCCTTACCAAACACTCTGATTTGTCAGACTTTTGATTCTTAAAATACTTCATGACCCTCCTGTGTACTGCCATCCCCCTCCCTCAACAATAACCTCAACAAGCATGGCACGTATCGATGCCATATTTGCTTAATTATCTTCCCAGTAAGAATTAGGGTATGATCTGATGAAAAGAATTTTTAAAAGAATTTATCGGTTTGATTGTCCATATCAAGTAATGCTTTGACATTGTGTGATCACACCCTCAGAAATTTTAATGTAAACAAAAAGGACATTTCCAAATGATGATGAGAGGAAGCTTAGTACTAAACACCCCAGTAAGGAAAAGTCCTTGGGATTTCAGCTACCACATGGGTTAGACCTTTGCCATGTCTTATAATAATCTGGCTTTATTTCTGTTTCTTTCATTGTGATGAAAGCATCCACGACACATATGATTAGACATTTCTTTAAGCCTTCTTCCTTGAAAGAGCTTTGTAAATCTAATTACTGCAAAGATTTCCCTCACTTACTGGAAAAGATCCATCCCTTCATAATACTCAAGCTAGTCACGTAGTTCCCATGGCTCTTTCCTTCACTACCTTACTCCTCTGCTTGTACATAATTACTGAAATAACGGAAAGGGCATGGGACCTTTGAGTTTGAAGAAGTTCTTCCTATGCAGCTCACCAGCTGCAGACCTTCAGGCAACTCATTCCAGTCTCCCTGAGCCTATTTGCAGGGTTATTATAAGATCCCTATGCAATTAAGGTGTGTGAAATTGCTTTAATGCATAAAGTGCCATGTAAATAAGGTAGTAGTTACTATATTTCT